TTCTATCTCTGTAACGATCGCTAGCTTAGATGATTGTTTTAAAGGGTTTGTTTGTTCCCTTTCGAAGGTTTGGTTATATATGTGATTTGTTCTGCTTTGTTATTAGTGCGAAAGCTTAGAGACTGAGCTCCAAGATAAAGACAGTAGTTTATCATCGATAAGAGCACAGCTGTCGTCTCTACGAGGGGAATACCAGGACTCAGCCACCACTATAAACAACCTAGAAGCAACGATTAAGGATAAAGATCGGTACATAGAAATGCTTCAGACACAAAGACAGCGAAACAGCCTGGAATTGAACGAGGAAGTCGACAATCTGAAGAGAAATAATGAAAAACTAGAGTCTAAAGTAGCGTCACTACGTGAAGAGTTGAATGAAAAAGAGGTAACGGTTGTAGATTCAGAGAGGAAAGTTAACTTAAAATATATGCGATGAGCGGTTGAGTAAACACCTGTTTGTATGTGTGTTGATCCCTTTTTAGGACGTGATATCTCRGCGAGAGAAAGACTTCTCCTCGATCCAGTCTACAACTCAAGAAAAAGCAGCCCGTTTAGATGTGATGGAGCAGAAAATCAAAAGACTGGAGCGAAATCTGGAAGAGGTAACACAATCTCAACCAGATGCTCCTTGTATTTTTCGGAAGTTGTCACGCAATACTATGTAACTTTACGTATRAACTAGGTATAGAGACGTATTTTTTATGTTGGTTCTAGAGTGTCAGTGACAAGGAAAAATTGGCGTCTGAACTGAGCAGCAAAAAGCTAGAAATATCGCGGCTCGAGAAAGAARTGAATAACACCAAGAGAGAAGCAGAAAATAGAAAAATATCTCAAGAATCAAAGATCATGGAAGATACAGAAAAACTGAAGAATGAGTGTGCTGCTAAAGATAGACGAATAGAAGACTTAGAAAGGTTAGTCAACTCAGTATAGAATACGTTATTTACTTCAGTGCCAGATCCCATCAAAAGTGTTTCCATTTTCTGTACTATGAGTTATCATTTGTCATCAATCACATCATCACCAATCATCATTGTCATCAGCCATCGTTACTACCACCATGATAAGTTATTACTGTTATCATTACCATCTTTTTTATCTTCATCACTGTACATCGCCATCTGAGCGCGACCACCACCATCACCACCATCATTATTAYCACCATCCGTCGTCAGTCAACCTCCTTATCATCATCAGTTATCRCCATCATTATCCTTACCACCACCAYCATCATCAACATCGTCAGTCGTTATCACTCTTCACTTATCACCCTCTTTATCATAATCACTTATCACCATCATTATCATTATATTCACAAATAATAGTCGTCATCAATAAGGCATTTGTAAAGCTCTGCTGACCATCACTAGGTCTGATGGGGTAACGAAAGATGCCGATATAAATAAGGAAATTACCTTGAAATAGTTTGGTGCATATCTTGTTTCACTTAAACTCAAAGCGTAACTCCTTACATGAATATAGCGACTCCTTTTACTGCGGTTTTCGATTTTGCGAACTCGATAGTTACGAGCTGCACACTGAAATTGAGTTTTTCGCTSCCGTCAATCAAAAATAATCAGTCGGTACCCTTTATGTTATTGACTGGCGGCACTGATAAACCAATGTCACAACAAGCCGTTGGAATGTCTGAGTTTGCAGAATATGGAAAGCCGCAGGAATTGGTTCATGTCCTTGCAAGAACGTCGCAAGGAACTAGAGTAGCTAGCATGAGAGTAAGTGACTCGTTATATCGTTATTCACAGGCAAATCAAAGAGCTGAATAAAAAGATCGCGAATATCAAGAGAAGTCAACAACTTGAACGAGAAAAACAGGCTCAGTTATTGAACGAAGTGAAGAAACAGGAAGATCAGAATGATGAAAAGGTGGATGAAATCAAGGTGGGATATTAGTAACACTTTAGGGGGATGGGAGTGAAGGGAAGGTTTTCCTTCCTATATATCATAAATCGTGTTCACAGACTATACCCTTTTCAAGCACGGCCAACATTTACGACATATGCAGACTCGGTTGTGCATTGCTCATTGAAARCTGTTGCTGATGCTTGTTGCATGCTTCAAGTATCGATTAATCATGTGCGTTCTTTTTCTTTCGTCCTCTTTAAATTCAACCCGACCTCAGCAATAGGAAAGTAAATCATAAACTAGTCAAAACAATCAAATGAATTTATTATTTTACAATAACTTACAAATTTCTCGCGCGCTGATTGGTTRTTTTTTATCATCAATAAGAGGACAGACAGATAAAGCTGACATCAACGAGCGCGCGCTCTTTCCGTTGGTTGTTTTGATCACTAAAAATGAGAAGTTTTTATCGTTTTTGTTATTGTAAAAACGCCTCGTGGATCCACACTACTTTTTGACAATGTGATGACGCAATCTATCAATAAGAGTACAGACACATAAAAATCTGATGCCTATTTATTAACGGTCTACTGTCAGTATAGGCATACTTATGAATGTGATTGACTCAAACTGATGCATCTCTCGTGTGTTTTGCAGAAAGACCTCAAGGCCAAGGATGATCGCATTGTAGTTCTAGAAGAAGCCTTGAAAGAAAGCGTGACAATCGCTGCAGAACGTGAAGAACTACTCGCGCAGCAAGCACATGGTGCCGAAACAGCTGCGCAGCGTGTTGAAGACGTCGAGATGGAATTAGACAGAACTCACTTGGAAATGGCGATCACTAACACTAAGAATGCCTCATTACTCCTAGCTCTGAATGAGAACGACGCTATCTTGAATTACTATAAGTCCGAGAGAAGACACATGCTGGAAGAGGTCTTTGAAATGAGGTATGAGGTGCTACTATTCAGCTCATTYATCGGTAACTCAAATGGCTATTCTCCTCTTCACCCAAAGTACATTGCCCAAAGTATTGATGGGAGCTTTGACGCAACTCATTTTGATATGCGCATGCTCATATAGCTTCCTTTCAATTTTATCGTCCGAGCCTCTATTCCTTATGGTCATTATCCAAGACCGTTTCTCGCCACTGACCACGAAAAACGCAGGCTCTGGCGACAAGAGTTTTTTTTGTTATTGTTGTTGTCACTCTTTCGTTCATATTTTTGGCTATAATTTTCTTTGTTTTGTAGGCAAAATGCGCTATTAGCGACCATATCGGAAAAAGATGCAAACATAGCTTTACTGGAGCTAACACCGACTAAGAACAGCGAGAAAGAGGTGGCGATGCTGAAACGAGAGAAAGATACACTTGTTAATGAATTAAAAGATAAGGTATGTCAGTGTAYAGTCACTGCTGGTCTATACCTTAGCGATAAGACCTCTGTCGGTAAAACGAGATCTAAAACCTCTTTCTATACTGAAAGAGGTTGAAAAATAAATCCAATTGATCTGTGACATTTTAGAGAAGGCATTTACCTCCATTCACATCCACTTACTCCGACGAAGGACTAACGTCTCGAAGCGTCAGTTTCACAAAGCTTTTTACGGTGATTCAATTTATGTACAAATTCCTGCTGTTTTATTCAGAAAAATCGACGCAGTCCACGCTAGTACTCTACTAGTTATCACCACTCATTTACCTCCTATGTTTGTTTGATTTTTTTTTCTCCTTTTGAATATATTTTAGACGCAAAAACGGATGACATTGATTACTAATGAAGATAACAAAGAGGTGCATCTATCAATGGAATTCCTACATGCTCCTAAAGACAAGGTACGACTTGAATTAATAACCACTTAAAAGAACATGTCTCTCCGATTAGTAGGGTACGTGTGCCCGGCTATAGAACTTTGACACATCAATAAAGTTATTACTATTATTATTATCTCATAGAGTGAAGTAAAATTTAAGACATTCCTATTTGACGCATAAATAATTATATTTTT